TATTTTCTGTTTGGCCTGCCAAGTACAGAAAGCAACTGGCTATGGCGTTGTATAATGAAAGTTTTGCATATGAAAGCGAACTGGTCAGACAAGGAGAGAAGACTGCGGATATGTATTTTATTCTCAGGTATATTCTCAGTGGTTTCATTCGTGATGTAATGTGTTTTAATTTTCACCTCTTAAGTCAAGAGTTTCTTCTTCTTCTTCTGCCTTTCTATCCCCCAGTGGAGCACAGGCCCTCAAACAACTCACGCCAAGTCGTTCTATCCTTCACCATTGCATGGAGCTCTCCCCATGTCCTCCCTATCTTTCTAACTTATTCTCCAGCTCTCTTCTCCATGTGTTTTTTTTTTTGTCCTTCCTGTATTCCTATACCCCTGTGGATTCCAATGCAAAGACATTCTAGTTATGCTGTTCTCCTGTTTTCTCAGTGTGTGTCCTATCCAACGCCAGTGTCTTTTCCTCACCTCCTGGTCCACTGGAGCCTGTTTAGTTCTCTCCCAAAGCTCTACATTAGTTATTCTATCATACTATTTAATTCCCTCTATTCTGCGCAGGCACCAGTTAATGAATGTTTGTAGTTTATTAGTAATTGCCTTAGTTGTTCTCCGTGTTTCCGCCCCATACAAAAGTACTGATTTGACATTAGAATTAAAAATTTTTAGTTTAGTATTTCTTTTTCTTTTAAGGTATATTCTCAGTGGTTTCATTCCTGATGTAATATGTTTTGATTTTCACCTCTTAAGTCAGGAGTTAAAAGATTTCTAATTGAGGGAAAGGAGGATAAACATAGTAACATACAATTAGAGAAGAATTAGATGATGGTGGTGAAGAAAAAGCAGAGGAAGGAGGAGGACAGGTGATAAACTGGTTGAATAACCTTCAAGTGGACTAATTTGTTTTTGTTTTTGTTCAACCCAGTTTAAAATTTGTACAAGACAGTTTTATTTTTTAGAAGTAATGGCAGCCTAGTGGATGCCGATCACATCATTTATTCACTTCATTAAAAAAAATATAGGCTAACTTCCAAATAACGGTCCCAAATTATCGAGGCCGAAAATATATCCTAACAGGGCCTCAGTCAGATAGCATGTGTACTATCAGATGTTTTTGGCACAAATATTTTACCATGCCATTATGGCAAACAGTCCAGCATCCTCTGTCTTAAAAACTCATTTTTCTCTCTTATCCTCTAACTTTTCCATAGTCTCAATGCACGCCAGTTATCCCAAACTCACGATGTGTCCCAAACTCACGATGCGTCCCAAACTCACGATGCGTCCCAAACTCATGATGTGATTAAAGCTAGTTTACCATTTTTAGCATATTTATTAATAGCGTAAGCGGTAGGAAGAAGAGTTCCGGTGACCTGCTGTAGCAACCATAAAGCGTCAGTATCAAGTGTCTTGCCGATGGGCAGTCGTGCTTCTCTACAATTTGTGATCTCTAAAAGTGTGCATTAGTTCATAAGCTGAAGTCCTTATAGGCTATGAAAAAAGACTGTCAAGAATCTTTTTGTACTATCTTCCCGTACCTCACTTTTTCTAAACTATTTCCCTTTATCACATGCACGCCCTTCTCTAATTATTCTAATTTAAATCTGGAGCTAGCCGTGATCACATGTTCCTAGGGGACGACTCTCCACCAGGTACGTGGGCTCAACAACTAGGGACAGCAGTCCACTAAGGAGAAGGATTCTATGTAAATAAAACGACTGGCTCAGACCTTTTCCCGCGCATACATCATCGGTGACTCAATGAGTATGCTCAGGAAGATAAGATGGGCTGTGTCCGAAGACAGTGGTTGGGGTCTTTAAAACATTCAGAGCTGACGCATATCAGTTCCTTATTTGTGACAGGGTACGCAAGACAGCACGAAAATGAGCAAGCTGATAGGCTTGTAGTTAAGGCTACTGTGGAGGGATGAGCTATGGACCAGGCAGATATCGTGAATGCTGTACGAGAAGTAAGACGGTTGCGAGAACCAAGTGATGACTGTGAATCTGCAACCACGACCAGACTGCAAGAACAACTTGTTTAAAGGGATATTGCCAGACAAGAGCACAATGCAGGAAGCCAAAGAATAATAAGAAACTAATACAGAACTGGTGTTGTGTGCCGCTACACACTGCGGGTTATACCAGGGAGGGGATCCGATCACTTATGTGCTGAATGGTTTGGTGTGCAATGAGGATAATCTGTTGACTAACTAACTAAAACGTATTTAAAAATCTGCCCTACAAACATGGCGCTGTGCATACTTTGTCTCTGTACGATGCACGAGAAGATTTCAAGGCTTCTGGCATCCTAATATAAGTTTTCTGACAGAAAGTTGAAAGAAAAAGAATAAGAAAATGTGTTCCACATTACGTCTACTCATAACGGACCTGAAAAAACAAATTATATCCTACTGATGATTGTGGTCAGTTATCTTGGAGCTCTCCCCTTTTTCAAAACATTTGGTGTGTTGTTTATTGTTACCGTCAAACTAAAAGGCTGTT